GCACTGAGTTGCCGCCATGTGATTGGCTGATTAGAAATTAAGTGTTAACAAGCAGTTGGACAGGTGTACCTAATAAAGTGGCCGGTGAGTGTAGTCTCTTCATGCTGACCTGGGTCTTCCCTGGGGTCTCCTCCTAGTTGGACATGTCCAGAACACATTCCTAGGGAGGCTTTCAGGGGTCCTCCTTACCAGATGAACCACCTCAGCTGGTTCCGATGGATGGATGGATGAATGGATGGATGGATGGATGGATGGATGGATGGATGGATGAATGGATGGATGGATGGATGGATGGATGGATGGATGCCTCTAACTTTTTTGAGTCATAAATCCAATTGACCAACAGGTCTCCATCAGTCCAGTAAGATCCCGTCTAAAGGTCTCCTGCTTGGCTCCGACTTTTTTATTTATTTTTTTGGTTAATCCATTTCTCTTCTGGTTAAAGTTAGACACAGAAATAAAAAAAAGGCAGATCAAGCGTGAACATTTATCATTTATTTTCCATTTACATCACATTTTCCTTCAAAACACTATTAAAACTGGTTTAACTAAACACTATGAAGGATAATACTAAAGGTGACCAAACAGTTTTTTTCCTCTACACAATAAAATGTTTCAGCATTTCGCTCTGAACATCCAGTTTTGGTTTTCTGATGAGCAGCTTTTATATTTAGGTTGTTTCTAAAAAAAATTAATCTATTAAAGGAAGTCATTATCTGTAAAATTACAGCTTCAGGCGCTGAATGAACTTGTTAAATGAGGCCACAACCGTTKCTGGTACACTACATCTGTTGCTTTTATCTTTTAAAGCTATTTTTACTTTTTGTCTAAAATTTTGAATTGGTTRATATTTCAGTTCACTTTTTAAAAAATAATTAGGAGAAAATGTGTGAAATTGTTGATGATTTCATCATAACTCGCCTAAAGCAGTTCTGTAGCTTTAATCATTGTCATCATCTTCTTCATCCTGGTCAGGACTTTCACCCTCSTCTTCCACAATGTAGTGGTCATTTTCAAAGTCGTCCACAAACTCGTCGTCATCTTCAGTGTTTATCCTCCCCGACAAGACGTCCTCAATCCAGTCCTCCAGCTCCTCTGCTGTGGGCAGGTCCTCGTCGTTTGACATGTCCAACCAAACACTGTCGGCCTGGGATAAAGTGCACCACAKAATGAAACGGACTGAACGTCAACTGTTAGGTGTTTTCTGAGTCTCCTCTGGTCTGAAAATGGGACTTACATCTGTGACGTTGACCACACCAATCTGTGGTCTAAACAGGTCCAGTTTGAAGGTTTTCTCCCAGTACGTGGTCAGCTGTAGGGACAAGACARGACGAGGTCACTTCACAGGTCAAGCAGAACTTTGAGACATGTCTTTGRTGCTGAAATGAAATTTAGAGGTGTGGAAGAACCAGGGGGAAGTCATCGGGGTCGATCCAGACGATGCTGAGCTCAGGGTTGTTGGTGTTGTCTCTGGCCACGTCCTTCAGGATCTCCAGGAACTCGTAGCCATCTGGAAGCAACAGAAGAAGGGGTACCTATAGAGCTCAGTGGTGGGTATGGATCCACTAATCAGCTAATAGCAGAACTAATGTTTCATTTAGCAGATTAGTTTATTCGCTAACTTTGAAAAAARGTTAGCAAACCAGTTAGCTTTCCCTAAATTAGTTTTAGCCAAGTTAAATCCAGTAACGAGGGTTAGACAGATCACACGTCTGTCAGATTTAAACTTTTAAGGTTTTCTTTCCCAGAATAAATCCTAATGGAGAAGAGATATTAAATAAATGAAAACAGTTAAGAGAAAACATTCTTCTTAAACATTTGGATTAAAGATGTTTGCAGAGCTTTCTGTAACTGTGTCAGAATGTTTATATTTTTAAAGTGTTCCTGCACCATAGGAGTCAGGCTGTGGTGGGCATCTCTTATTTTCTGAAYGGTGGCAACCCTACCGCTAACAGCTAACTAACAAGCTAACATCAAGTTTGTGRCAGTCCCACCAGTATTCAMCTCGAAGGAGATGAAGACTTGTGATGCAGACTAAGGGTTAGCAATTAGCTTTAGTGTTAGCTTCCCCTATTTTTTTACGTTTAGTATTAGCAAAGCTACAGTTTTAGTTAGCAGACCAATTAGCTTCAGCTAAATTAGTGGATTTAAAGTTGGAAAAACCTAACGGCTAACTAACAAATTAACATCGACAAGTTTGTATCAACCATCAGTCTTTAGCTTAAAGGAGACAAAGACGTGATGCAGACTGAGCTGGTGCTAGCTTCTGCTAATTTTTTTTACTTATTCTGCTGTTTACTGTTAACGTACGTTAATTTTTTTTTTTTTTTTTTTTTTTACATATTTAGCATTAGCAAAGCTATACTTTTAGTTAGTGAATGCCCACCCTAGTTAGAGCCCCATGGACCAAAATAACAAAATGTTTTGTGTTGCAGCTGCAGACCTGGATCTTCTTCCTCAGCAAAGGCAACAATATGTATCCCATCTGTATCATCCTCCTTAATGAGAAGAGAACAAAAAGTGCATTTATACTCTAAAACAACCGTGATTTCAGTCATTTATAATGAAATATWGATCAATTACTCACCCAAATCTCAAACATGTTCTCAGCCCGGAGCTTCCTCAAAGTGGCCCTGTAAAGATCTCATTGTCAGTAAACCTCACCTAAATAAATAGCTAAATATAATTCTGTCTACACAATCCTTTTATAAACTGGTATTTACAACRCCTGACAAAGAGGGTCTTAGCCTGGCTGAAGATTAATATTAGTCTTGTAGTTAAGACCACCTAACCCGAGACAAGACAGAGTACAAATWCAGTTGAGTCTGATCAAGACCAACAAAAAGTGGTCTTAAGACCAGCCTCGAGTACAACACTGATCCATAGGATCCCACTCCATTATGTCAGGTTAAAGTTTCTCACAAAGCTTATTTTAATTTTTCTTTAGTGCTATTTACAATTTCTTCTTATTTCAGTGTCAGCACATGACCAAAGTTAAACAGCAACAGATCAGGTAAAGTTACACAAAAGCAAAAAAAAAAAAAAAAACTGACGTCATTGTTTTAATTTGGTTTCAGGGGCACAAAGTGACTCAACCTCCTGTGTTGGTTGACATATTCAACAATATCCATCTCTGACAGAGGTCTTCCAGGCAAGATGGCTGGCTCCTCCATGAACGGCTCATAAAAGTTCACTTCATTCATCTTCAGGGACAGATGTTTGGCTACCTAAAACAACACAACATGRCAGGTTAATTTAAATGCCTTTATGGAAGCTGCTTGTTTATGGTCATAAAATAAATACAGACATTTTTTCAACTTTAAAAAACAATTATTTGATTAATTCTGCAGAGAAAGTTCATCCCCGTCATACAGCTCAACTTGGATCTGATAAGGATCTCACATTCAGCTCAACAGCATCCAGTAGCAACTTTGAAAACCAATGTGCTTGATGACCAGGCTAACTAATATGTAGATTAGTTTGTTTATTTGTCAAGGACYATGTACAGAAAAACATTAAACTTGAAATGAGTAAAGATGTATTTCTCTMTATTCAAACACTGTAGAAACATGTTTTCTTACAGGTATTATTTCACTGCCATGCTTGCTGCTGTCTAATTAGCTTTGGGCCATAAAGACCTGTTTGCTAACTTAATAGCCTCACGCCCTATATAAGCCTGTTAGCTAATAATGAGTTTACCCTCTTGAAGCCTGTTTGCTAACTAATTAGCTTTACATCATATAGGCATGRTAGCTGAATTGTTAGCTTTAGCTCATAAATCGGGTTGCCACCTGTCAAATACAGAATTGTTCTTTATTTGGCTAATAAATGTTGCYTCCAGTATTGAACCAATACCAATAAAGTCTTTGATTCATTTAACAACACAACAAKCATTATTTCTAAACCTTTGCTCCTGAACATAAGAAATCAACRTTTAAACAAATCTTACAAACTGGCTGTCTGATTTTCATAAAATGTTAAATAACCATGCATTTTCTTTTACTTACAGATTTATCGAAGGTAGCAAAGAATTTGATGTAAGGTTGAAATCTCTCAGAGGCCTCCTGAAACGCTTTAAAGTCTGAGAAAACGAGAGACAGCGAAGCTGAATTGAAGCATCTATATTACACATCTGTGGTGAATGATGTGATGAGAAGAGCAAACCGTAAAACTAATTCTCTCCTTTCAGTTTCTCAGCATCAAGACTCCACTGTCCTCAAGTCTCTCTTGACAGTTTTACATTCTTATAAAGTGCTCCTGGTTCTGCTCCCACCAAGGACTGGCCTGTCCCCAGACAAACGGGGTCCATTATTACATTTTTTGATCAAAGCAGATCTCAGTTTCAGATGATCTCTTATCTCTCAGAGAGGGACTATAATTGCAGTTTGACCCGTTACAGGACGAGCTCAGAGCTATTTAAAGTCTCTCTGAGGACTGAAAATGTCTGGAATCAGGTTTCTTATTAACGCGCTTCAAGGTGACGTAGCACAGTTAGCATTCAGCTCTATTAGCATCCCTGGAGCATGGTGATGGTAGGAGAACAGTGTGTGGTTGTGTTTTTAACCCATTATATAGGTGCATTAACTAAATGTAGGCTTTAGAGGAAAAGAGTTTGAAAAACCAACATGAGTCCTCTCCTTTGAAGTAACCGATCAGTCGGATGTCTTCTTCCATTCGCTCGAAAGCTCGCAGCTCCATGGCGTTACTGATGATTTCCACTGGGTCCTCCAGCACCTGACAGACATGGTCAAAAAAAAGAGGGGGTGATTTTGGATCGGATTCTGAGGTGGGCTTTTCCTTGTAGATGATGTTTTTGTTTCAAACATCTCTTATGTCCTGGATGCAATATACCCCTCTGCCAAATGTCCTGCTCTGAGTCTCAAATCTGTTTATTTGTTTAAAAACTAAAAATCACAGCTGACTCACCTGACTATATTAAATTGCTCKTTCCTGTTTTTCTTCACCTGAGTTGCCTCGCTGTCAGGAATTTTGAACCTGTTTGAAAAATTTGCCTGACAAATCTCTCGCAGTCGTTACAGGCATCTGGAACCCTTCAGCTTAGTTCCAATGGGTCAGAACGTGCAGAACAGAAGGAACAACTTCAATTCAGTTTTTCACKAATATGTGACCTGATGCAAAACGAGTCCCAACGAGGGGTTTTTTYGCAATTATTTTCAAATTCTCCACGTCAAAAGCTACAAAATGACTTGTAATTTGTTGAAATTTGTTGATTTATCACCTGGAAAAAAGCAGGTTTTGTTTGGTGTCAATTTGTAAACTAGACCTTTATTGGTCTGGATGACGTCTGTATTTAAAAAGGAGGAATCCCCAAGCTTCACAATGACACCAGCACTATGGAATTGGTCGATTTCAAAGTAAATTTAAAGCTAGATGAGGAAGATTWTTTGATATTTGAGTTACTGGGATCACCAAGGAGTGTATTTATGGACTCATGTTTATGCAATTTTCAATTAATAACAATAGTTTATTTTTTTGCATGGAATTTTTTCAGCTGTGTATAAATAAAAATGGCTAAATTTATAGATCTTTGTAAAATTTGCTTTATTTATTTGTTTATTAAGATCCCCATTAGCTGCAGTAAAACRACAGCTTTTCTTAATCAGGTCAAACAGAATCACACTGACAATTAGAAAACAGACATAACATTACTAAACAATAAGAAAATTCAAGCCGCTTTAGCGGGACTTGCAATTGGTAAGTTTTTCTGATCATTCTGAGCTATGATCACACAAAATTTCAGCTCAATTTCTTAAACAGCTGATCTAGAACTACTTGAAGTTAGCTTTGCGGCCATCTTGAATGTTCTAATCCAGAGTAGCTCTTTATTTGTATGTGCTTAGCTCCACCTCTGCAGTCTAACTCTTATAATAAGAACTCCTGGTTAAAGTCAGGATCRTTTCAAATGAGCTGCATCTGCTGGAGGTTTATACCTCTGAAATATACAAGAAAACTGGCAAACATATCAGCAAACCCAAAAATGGCAACAAAGCAGTCATTTTTTTTTATTATCTATTAAGCTAAAATTTTGATCGTAGCAGCTGAGCCATTACTAACGTACTTGGAGCTTGAGATCTTTGTTTCACTGGAAACGTTGATGCTGTTACTTTGCCCTTTTTTTTTTACAACATTAAATAAAATTTACTTACGTCCAGGAGAAATTCCACCAGCGTGTCTGCCGACAGCTCCCCATCAAACTCAATGATCCGGTCATCCTTGAAGACGTACAAACTGCCCACCTCCTCCAGACCTGGAGGCAGAAACCAGAAACTAAACAGTGGTGTGGAAAAATGAAATAATAATAACAATAAATAAAACATTAACAYGATTATTCATCTTAKAGAAGAGAAATAAAAATTGTACCTAATTTTTTGGCGACTTTAGCATCTTTTTGAGCGTCCACCATCCCAAAACCAATGTCTTTGTTCTCCAGGACTTGAGCTGTGAGCTTGATGTTCACAACAAACAAACCAACAGTTTAAGAGTCTTAATGTGGCAGACATACTGAACACTGCATTTACAGACTCTGTGGGAACKAGAAACAAAGAAGCAGGTCAAATGTCCCAAAACTAAAGAGAATCAGCATTTGATTGACTTTAAATCACAATGGAAGCAGTCCACTCTTTTCTCTTTATCTTGAACTTTCTGTGGGTTTGACCTTCTGCCTCTAAGGTGATGTGGTCAGGACGGCTGCTGAAGCTCGTATAGAAAATCCAGAAAAACGTAGCTCAAAGTGAACAAAAACCAGATTAAACTAACAAAGTTTGATCAGGATGCGGATGTGAGTCGACTTATTTCAGTCTCAGACGGATGTTAATTGGTTTTTGAAGCTATAATTAAAATAATGACCCAGAAATGGTCCCTGGACAGATGTGAGCAGAGAACAAGATAGTATTAAAGTCAATGCAGGTAAAAAATGGAACCTGAATCCATCAGACAGCTGCTCTTCAGCTTGGTCCAGATCAGTGGTCCAGCCCTGGTCCTGGAGGACRACTATCCTGTAGGTTTTAGTTGTTTCTGTGCTCTTAAACAGGTCATGTTCTGCAGAAACCTGTTCATCGTGTATTCAGATCAGGTGGGTCACACATCTAAAACATGCAGGATGGTGGTCCTGCAGGACCAGGACTCTCCTGGTCTAAAAACTGGGAAACAAACAAAAACAACAACAACAACAACAACAAAAAAGAATCTGTTCCTTTAATAAGACTTGTTCTGACACAGCTGAACCTGCCACCTGTAAAGGTCCGGTGCAGCAGGATTCTGGTCTTCACACACCTGAAGAGGAGAACTACTGGTAATTATAAGATAGTTCAGACCCTGAGGTGAGTTTCTGTGGTCAGATTAGTTTACCTGAGGTGATAGGGTTTTTTAGAGATGGAGTTTATCGATCAGCCTGACGAGCGAACAGCTCAGGTCTCTGCCGTCGTAAAACAACTCSAATCTTGAACATTTTATGTTGGAACACTAAATTTTTACATTTATTTAACATGATTATTTATATCTCTTTACTACTACTACTTTTATTTATAAAGCTCTTTAAAACAACCACAGCAGCTGCAACAAAGTGATGTGAAATCAAAACATGAACAACACAAAACAAAGATTAAAAACGAGAAAATCAATAAAAAAAGGAATAAAACAAAAAAAGAAAAACAAGTCTCAGGCTGTGCCAAAAGCCAGGGAGGAGAAATATGTTTTTAGAAGAGTTTTAAGATCATTATTACTAATTTATTTTATAGTAAAGTCTGTAGCACTTCTGATGCAGCCATGTGGAGGGGGCTGCCCGCTGTAACCTCAGTGCTCAGACTGAGTCCATAAAAGACACCATCGAACTATATCAGTAACTAAAATACCAAATAATCTGCTTCACAATCTATTTAAGGACAATCTATTTATGCCAGGAAATCCCTTTGTTGTTAAGGTGAAGCTCTGGGATTTCCCTTTTTTTAAATAAAGGGCTGGACTTTCTGATGATGTCACTTCATGACCAATAAAAAGAAAAATAATTCCACTTTTCAAACCGACACAAAAAAATAACCCAGCTTGTTTTCAAGTGATGATTCACCAAATAGTTTTAAACCTTCTGAGATAACTTAAAATAATTTTGTCATTTAACAGCAAGCGTCAGATATGATGTCCATCAGTCACTGTGTGATGGACAGGGGACGTCCTGGAAAGATTTAGTCCATCACAGGGACGCCTAGAGACGGTTTAATGAACCTAACGTGTTTTTGGTCTGGAGAAAACCCATATATGCACGGACAGAACATGTTAGCTCTGCTTAGAAAGATCCCAAACCCTAAACTGGGTTTATAAAATCTATCAGTAACAGGTAAGATATTTATTCTCTTCACAGAACTCCACTTCAGAGGATCTAGACTGTTCTTACAGGTTTGCAGAGATGAAAATACATTTTGCGTCTGCTGATGGAGCAAGAATTAAGTGATTTTTCATCGTCTAAATACCATTATTTAAGCTTTTAAATTATCAGTAAAATTTTTGATGCTGAATTATTTCCTTTTACATTTGATATTAACTCTGTTTAACATGACAGGAAGTAGATGTTGGAGTCTCCTCACCTCCAGCACCAGCTCAGTCATCTGGAACTGCTTCTGGAGGCCCTTACTGGCCGGGACAGGTTCATGGTAGAACAGGCACAGCAGGTCGTACCTCCTCAGGGCCTTCTTGTAGTTGCGCTCGTTGATGTCCAGCACCCTGTCCTTCCCATCGAAGTTGGGGAACTCCAGACCCTCCTCGGCCCCGCAGAAACAAACCAGATGGAGGCTGAGGCCGGACAGGAGGGAGAGCCAGATCTGCTGCATCACTGCTCAGACTGTGGAGGCGCTTTGATCTCCAGCAAATATAAAATATAACCTCTAATGTTTCATCACTTCGTCCTCTGCTTCTGTCGCTCCTCTTTGACAGCTTCTCCCTCTCTCCTCGCATATCTCCTCCTCTCTCCATCTTCTCACTTCCCAAATCTCAGGAGAGTCTCATTCCTCCTCTCTGAGGCTCACYGCACTGAGGATATTTAAAGAACAAACATCCATCAAATCCTCTCAAATTCATTTATGATAAAAATCAATAAGATTTTTCTATTGTTATATAATTATGAATTGTTTATAGTGTTGTGTTTTTGCTTCAGAATTAGCTGACAGTTCAGAAAATGTGCTTGTAATATTTGAATGCCTTTATTTTAAGTATTACGGTAAGATGACAGCATTTTTGTCGTGCACGTTACCGTAATTCCGTATTCAGGCATTAGTAGCGCATCACAGATCGCGGCTCTTTGTTCTCAGACAAAGCTGGACAATAAGGGAAAAATGGAGCGCTGCCGGTTTTGGAGCGCGTTAATATTAATCCAAGTCTGTTGCATGAGTTCAGTCGGTGCTTCAGGTAATGCCTCTAAGAAGCATAAGCTTTAAAATGTATTTTAAAAGTAACATTTATCTGGGTTTTGTGTCGCTGCGGCTCCTCGCGATAACTCCTGATGAGGCTTAAATCAGTGTTGCCCGGCATGCTAACTGTTAGCTGTAAGCTAACTCTGTGACCGCTTTAAGCTCACAGAAGGATGAAATCCCGTTTGTGTTTTTAGTGTTTCCCGCGTAGGCCGGCCGAGGGGTTGAAACATGTTCTCTAAACTTACGCTAAAGGCGCAGCGTTCAGTGAAGTGCTTATCGCCCGCCGCCTTCACATTTGAGTGCCACCGAGGAAGTCGTAGCCGAAACCATAAATGCTAAGATCTCGTGAAGTATCGCGAGATCAGAACTAGTAAATCTCTGGTACATGTACCACAATAATGTGCAGRTGACATGACTTGTGCATTTTTGTGTTGTTATGGTTGATTAGCTGTAGCAGGCATCTTGAGATGGGTTAGTGCTTCTTAATGTATAATCAATGATTACTTCCTGAGAGTTTTACTAAAATCCGTCCAGTTATGATGGGATATTTTGCTAACAGATACTTGAAAGTTCTCAGTCAGAGCCTTTTGTTTTTGGCAGTTGAACCAACACCACAAAAGTAAATAAATAAATATCAGAAACAATATTTTATCGGTCAAATTGAATTTTTGGTGATTTTTCTAATCGTTCTATTTTGAGTTATTGGTTAAATAAATAAGTTTCCTTAYATCTAAGCTTGTCAGGGACACTAAAACACAGTTTTATTAATGTGTACACYTTGTTGCAGATACACAGTGGAAAAAAATAAGAGAAAAGATCTCTGAAGCTGTTAAAGGATACACTCCATGCAGTCCTGTCAACTGCAGCTGCCATCTTGGGTGAGCCTGTCTCAACACTTRACCTCTAGTTCTGACTATAAACAAAGAACATTTGTTAAGATTACACATTTTAGGGTGGATTTAAAACTGTTTCTGCAGCTGAAGTTAAACCTTTCTCTTGTCTTATTTTTCCATTTCAGCGTCCTCCAACATGACCTGAAACCGTTTAAAAGAGGAGTTTCTGCAGACCTCCTGGCCTCGACAGTTCAGAGAGGGGTGGGCACCCACTACCAGATTATTGGACACAACTTGTACAGAGAGAATAACTGCATGTTTCCTGCWAGGTTTGTTTAAAGATAAAAATGCACCTGGATGGTGTTAGTCAGGTCCTGTTTCTGATCCTGTKCGCGCCCTGAACCCACGTCATGTTTCCAGGTGCAGCGGAGTGGAACACTTCCTCTTGGAGCTGATCGACAGGCTMCCAGACGTGGAGATGGTGATAAATGTGAGGGATTACCCACAAGTCCCCAACTGGGTGCAGCCGACTCTGCCCGTCTTCTCCTTCAGTAAGGTCGGGATCTTTCTGCACGTAGAAAAACACAAATATTAGCTTTCACAAACCAACTGTTTTTTTWAATGTTTTCTTTAAGTAGACGTCAGAATACCAGGATATCATGTACCCTGCCTGGACATTCTGGGAGGGAGGGCCTGCTGTGTGGCCCATATACCCCACCGGACTGGGACGATGGGATCTGATGAGAGATGAGCTGAAAAAGTAAGTTTGCAAACATCTAATACACTGCAGAAAATGTCCACCTAAACAAGTTTTAAAATCTTATATCCAGCCAAAAAGTCTTTTTGATCTTGTTTTGAGACAGATTTACTAAACAAGAACTGATTGTGTAAGAATAATAATCTTGTTTTCAGAATGTGTAAGATTATTTGTCTTGTTAGCCTGAAAATTTGACTCAAATTAAGTCAAAAATTTTCTGCCAGTGAAGTAAGAAAATTTTACTTGGTAAGATTCTGAAATGAGTCAAATCAAGTATTTCAAGAATCTTACCAAGTAAAATTTTCTTACTCCACTGGCAGATATTTWGACTTAATTTGAGTCAATTTTTCAGACTAACAAGACAAATAATCTTACACATTCTGAAAACAAGATTATTATTCTTACGCAATCAGTTCTTGTTTAGTGAATCAGTCTCAAAACAAGATCAAAAAGACTTTTTGGCTGATATAAGACTTTAAAACTTGGTAAGATGGAGAGTTTCTGCAGTGTGGATCTGTATGAGACTCYTGCTGGAGGATAAGTTGGAAAAAAATTGAAAATATTTATTTTTGCTATAATTGAGATGGGCATAAAGATTAGTCCATAAAGAGGCACCCGACCTTGATGGTCCACATGGAAGTGGCATCCTGTCTCTCTTTTTATTGGTCTTGGCCTAACCAAGCCTCAAGAACCGAGGCTGGACCACCAGCCTCTCCCTGGCAAGCTCCGCCCCCAGCTTTGCCTTATTTTCCTCTTTTTGAGCAAGGCTGTTTTTCCGTCAAGGTTTTCTGAAACTCTTGGTCTGACTCATCCCCTGAGGCCTGTTCGTCACGGGGGACATCTTTTAATAACCTCTATGTCTTTTTGTTTATCTGTTTTATATAATTTTATTGTTTCCTTTTTATTTGAGTGTTGTACCCGAGACAAACTTCAAAATTTAAAAAAAGTTCTGTGTCTCTGGACCTCATCAGGTCTGCAGCCCAGTGGCCCTGGAAGAAGAAAGAGTCCAAAGGGTTCTTCAGAGGTTCCAGGTCAGTGAGGCAGGACTGAAGGAGTCATTGATTGTAAAAGCAGACTGCTTTAAGACTGATGTGTTCACTCTGCAGAACCAGCTCAGAGCGAGACCCGCTCATCCTCCTGTCCAGAGAAGCTCCTGACCTGGTGGATGCAGAGTACACCAAGAACCAGGCCTGGAAGTCTGAGAAGGTCTGACACTCCAGGGTCCAAAGCAGGAAAACCTTCAGCTGGGTCTTTCATCAGTTTAACCTCTAATAAYACCTGTTCTCTCCACATCAGGACACACTGGGGAGACCTCCAGCTAAAGAGATCCCTCTGGTGGATCACTGCAGATGGAAGTAAGTTGTTTTTTTTAAACCATGTTTAAAGCTTGAGTCTCATCTGACGCCTTCTTCTCCACCTTACAGGTATTTATTTAACTTCCGGGGCGTGGCGGCGAGCTTCCGCCTCAAACATCTCTTCCTCTGCGGCTCGCTGGTGTTTCACGTCGGTGAGGAGTGGCAGGAGTTCTTCTACCCCCAGCTGAGACCCTGGGTCCACTACGTCCCGGTCAGGCAGGACCTGTCCGACGTCAGGGAGCTGCTACAGTTCGTCAAAGAGAACGACGCGGTCGCTCAGGAGATCGCCTCCAGGTAACGGGTCGGGTTTTCCTCAGAGCTGAAGTTAGGGGCAAAATAAAGTTACAGRTCCGGTTCTCCCCACAGGGGGAAGGAGTTCATCCTCAACCATCTGCGGATGGAGGACGTCTCCTGCTACTGGGAGAGACTCCTCACCGACTTCAGCCAGCTRCTCACCTACAGACCCAGCAGGAAGCCCGGCTACAAACAGATCGTCCAGAAGCCCAGCAGAACTGAGCTCTGACCGCCCCGCAGCAGCTGACTCAGCGTAATGAATGTACTGCCTGTGCTACAAAAACCAGTTGTAACCAGTTCAGACTGGTGGAAGTTCAGAGAGCTGTGGGCGCTGCAGCTCCTCCAGGTGGTCACCTGACATTGTCAGCRGCGACAGAGCAATAATGTTTGTTTGTTCCGTTAGCAAAATACCTCAGAGATCATTCGCCTTCAACTTTCAGTCAAAATGGCRGCCACACCTAAACAACCTTACCCAACACAAACACGTCTCTAACTCAGTCAGTTTCCAGGGGCGGAGCCAGAGGGCTTGCTCGAGTGGCAAGTGCCAACCCTGCCACTTGATTGGCCACTCCAGGTGCTGCCCACAGATGATTGACAAGTGGGCGGGACTAGCATGTGATATTAAGATGGGCAGTAAATATCTGAAGCAGCRGTATTGTCTGCTGCAGTGAGAACCTTTAGAGCCATTTTAAATAAGCTGTGGTGGACATTTAGATTTTTCAAATCTGTAGTAATTTTATTTGTTTTTATTTGACCCACTCAAAAAAAAAAAACAATTTTGCAAAAAATCTAGCTCCGCCCCTGTTGATTTCACAGCTAGCTGACCGTTGGTGTGTAGTAGCTACACATCTCACATCTGTGTTCGAAACTTCAACGAGCAATAAGCCTCTCTGCTACAAACACTAACACTGTTTATTTCCTGTTTTTATTCATCTAAAGAAGCTGTGAAGGGATTATAATCCTAATAATCTGAGCTAAATTGAGATTTTGGTTTAGATTTGGTTCTTTACATGGACCTAACAGGGTGGCAGCTTCAGATGAAYGAATGAAAGTCAAAACAACTTCAATCGATTCTAGAATATTGTTCAACGATTTGTTTCAGCTGAATCTTTTCATCATTTAGGTTTGGATGAGGATTAGGGATTAGGATCTGATTTTAAGTTAATTATCTTAATCTGTACAACAATCGATCGTTAAGTCTGATCACCACAATAAATCTAATCCTGGRAGTTTCAGAGAAAGCTTCATGTGTTTACAGTTAAATAATCTGTCTGGAGTGGATTAATGAGATCACGTCAGGATTAATTTGATTATGTTGTAGTATTCATTTTATCCTGTCATTAAGAAGGTTMTTATTCTTGTCAACATTTATTTTGTTTTGTGCAGCTGTTTGAAGCCGTGGCCAGTTTGTATGTTTTTTTTTAATGTTATTTTTTATTTTGACCAAAGAAGCTGTGATCAAATCTTCTGTCAGATTTTTTTTACAACTTTTTACTAAAATAAACAAAGTGAAAACACTTGAACTGACTCTGCTGTTATAATGTTACTTCTTCAGGCTTCAGACTGTTTTAGCTGTTTATAAATCAAAATATTCGGCTTGTTCAGAAGATGGTTGCAGTGATTTTATTTTTTTTTTGTAATTTTTGTACTTTTTAAAAATGTGTAAATTAAACATTGTTCCATAGAATTACATTAAGAACCCTTTTTAAATATTATTCAGCATGGTTTTTATTTTAGCTCAGTTATGTCTGATAAAAAATAAAAGCTCAAAATGCTGATTCTACATAATACTCTGCCTTTAACAAAACAAAAAAAAAAAAAAACAGCTTTATTCCAACACTTGAACAAACCCACCTGGTTAAAGGATGCTCAGAGGATGGTGTGATGGTTCCACACATTTATTGTTGTCTTGGCCAGCTTTTAAATCCTTTTTCACATTGAATTCATTCAGCTGGAGTCTATATAACCTGTAAAACTTCAATGCTTCGGTCTAAATTCCACCTTATTGTWACTCCACAYGCCCCTRTTTTACTCATTTTGAGGCTGTCTCTTTAAATCCAAACATGCTTCACACCCCACCCTCCTCCAGCATCCAGAGCGGTCAATTCTAGTTTGATGAGAGATTTACGACTATCTTGTGGCACAGAAACATTTTATTTACTAATAAATTAAAAGATATCAACAAGGGAAGAACTGTCCATCCAGACTTACATGTTGGAGCCAGAGTCTGACCCAGAGCCAGAGGAGGAAGAAGACCACCAAACTGTAGTTGCTAATCCAGACCTTATTTGACGTTTTGCAAAAACTGTGACGTAATAGTTCAGAAAACATCATAGACAAAAGAGAAAACTAAACAACATTTTGGCACAAGTACACAACAAAATGTATTTAACAACTAAAAAAGTGGATTTTGCATGATATGTCCCCTTTGAGCACACGATATGAAATGTCCTGTCCAGAATGAAGGTCACCGACGCCTCACAGCAAGAAGGTCCTGGGTTCGATTCCCAATTCGGACCTGGGGTCTTTCTGTGTAGAGTTTGTGTGTTCTCCTCGAGCTTGTGTGGGTTTTCTCCGGGTACTCCGGTTTCCCCCACAACACAAAACATGTCCAATAGGMTGCCTTCAGGCCCAGGCCTCCCTTGAAAAAGAGATCTGGGATCTCAACAGGACTTGCCTGGTAAAATAACGGTAAATAAATAATAATAAATGATGTACTGACTGGTTGGATCAGGGAGAAGAATGTCAGACACTGGATGTAAGTTGTGTTGTTTGAAGGCAGCGTTGGCTTTTGTTTCATATTTTAGACGTTTTGACTCGGTTAGAGCCTTTTGCAAACCAAATGTGTCACTTTGACCATGTTGAGCCCTGTGGGCTCACTGTTTTGAAAATGTGGATTTTGAGGGGACTACTGTGTCAAAGCAACCAAGAAAAACTTTAAAGTCACAACGATAAACGGAGAAGAAATCAGTGATTTACACTGAGCTGATCAGTGTTTAACTGTTCTTATTAATGTCTGTTCATAGGATGGTTTGTGTTTCATCTGAACYCAAAATACCATTTTGAGAAGAAATATTGTTTTCAATGTAAAGTTTAATTTTGCAGGAGAATTGAAGGGGTTTGCCCGATGTGTGTGTGAAGCTCTGAGAGCATGAAGCATGCTGTAAGAAATGTGTGTGATCAATCAAGAAAAACTGCAACAGATGAAGCAAGAGGAAGATGGGTTTGAGTTTGAGRCAGAGGAGGGTGAGGAGCAGGTCAAGCAGGAAGAGGAGTGGTGCAAAGATGGAGAGATASACGATCATCAGTCATTATATTACATCACAATATGGATGAAATGACAGCAACYATCATTAAAGCAATCTGACTCAGAGTAATCAAAGAGAAACACGTTACTGTGTCAACTTCGAGAACAATGACAGTGTCAGTGTTACCACAGACTGAGTTCTCCAGCACCGACGGGTACAGAAAACCCAACCCAGCTCAACAACATGATGTTGCTCAATGATTTATGGTTTCATAATAAAAATACAACATTTCAACTAAATTTATTTAWATATTTGTTATCAAGTCACAACGATTGTCATCCCAGGGCTCTGTACAAAAACAATCTATAGAATTGTGTTGAATTTTCACTTTGTCACAGTCTCTTCCTGAACYTTGTGTTTTCAGTTTTTATTTTTATTTTTTTGTTACAGTGTGGATYATGTGTAGTAGTGTTCACAGTTTTGGAAGATTGGGTTTTGAGAAGAGAATTRGAGGCTTTGTGTGTGTAGCTTGAGAAAAGTGTTTTATGTTACYCATGTTGAGAAATGGAGGAAGGTTATGTGAAATGTGTTTTAGTAACAGTGGAAAACTGTAAAAGCAGTCCATTAATATTTAACTTCACTCTGATTTTCAGTGGAATTTGAGTCAACATATCAAAGATAAACCTCTTTGCAATGAAAAACGGAAGTAAAACAAGCTCTGAAACTCAAATGACTCATTCAGCTGAAGGTGTGTGTGTGTGTGTGTGTGTGTGTGTGTGTGTGTGTGTGTGTGTGTGTGTGTGTG